AGATTATGGCTCCTCTTGCAAATGTCCCAAATGAACAGAAAATGGCAAGTCCCAGAGCACCTGGTTAAGTGTCTTAACTCTTGATTTTGGCTCAGGTCATGATCTCAGCGTTGTGAGATTAAGCCCCATTCCCCATATTGGGCTCCACGCTAGGCATTGAGTCTGCCTAAGATTCTCTCTCTCCCTCCTCCCCTCCCCTCTTCCTCTAAAAAAAAAAAAAAAAGTGGTGGCAGGGAGGGGACATCCCAGTCAAAGACTTAGAGCAGCCCAGAAGCCCAGAATAACACCATCCTTCTCTGGAGGAGAAAAGGAGGTTGGCTAGTTACACACACATACACACAACTGATGAATTAATGAAATTTAAGATAATGACTCACCATTGAAACTTTAGCTTCCTAAAAATTACTGCAGTGTACAACAGTTTTTAAAATGTATATTCCCTATTCCTTTAAAGAGACAACATATATATAATAATCAGTCATTATATTTTCAGAGAAAGGTAAATCACTGGCAGCAACATTTCTCTCTGCAAACGTAGACAGACCAGTGTATGCTCTATTAGGAGAAGAAACTGTTTCAAGATCAGGTGTAGTTTTTGGAAGCTCTTATTCATGTCTCAGTGTACCCTGGTTCAAAGGATGGAGGAATAGAATAGAATAGAATAGAATTTATTAATTCCTTCATTCAACAAACATTGTTGTAATTGTGCTTGGTGCCTATGTTCCACTTAGTCCTATCTTTTAATTCTTTGATGATAACTAGCTGATGTGAAATTGTAAACATACATATAGAACAATGAACATTTCATTTCAAATTATTGGCCAGATTTTCCCCAGGTTGAGCTCATGCTTGCTTATGATCCAATAATGATGCATCCCAGGAATTATGATCAATAATGCAACCATAATGAGGTATGATATTTTCCATTAAAAATCACTTCAGATACAGGACCTCTGCTGATTATCTTATATAAGTAATGAGTAATTTTTAAATAAAGTTTTTGTTCTACCAGGTTTTTCTCCACTGGTTGAGTGACAAATTAAAAACATGGCAAAATTAGGCCAAAACTTAGATCTCAAGAATACCCTGTCCCCTTCTCCTTATCACCTCTTAAAAATAAAGGGACTATTTCCCTCAGTGCTATCCACTTGGAACCCCAGTAACTAGATGAACAGATCTGTTTCTTCTCCATTCTATCCTTATTTACACAGCCAGGATACTGGGTTCAATCTCTGAGATCTCCTCTAATTCTTATTTTCTCTGAATTCCCCCTTAAACTCTCCTTCCTTGCAAGATTGCCCCCCACCATCCTAGACAGCCCTTCAGCCCGCCATTTTCTTAACTCTTCATGGAACATATGTAGTCTAAGCCTTGGGTTCTTTCATTCTAGATGAATGGCTACCGGAAAAAGATCAAAGATGCTACGGAACAAACAATGGCTCTTGTTGCTGAGCTGTCCATGAAACAAGCTCTGGCCATTGAACTCCAGAAGGAAGTCAGGGAGAAAGAAGACTTCATCTTCTCTTGCAGTTCCAGGATAGAAAAGGGCCTGCCACTCAATAAAGACATTGAGAGGGAATGGTTGAAGGTACTTCGAGATGAAGAAATGTATGCCTTGGCCGTCGCTGAAAAGTCTCAGGTAAGTTTTGTCTTCCACATCATATTTGTAAAGTGTGCCAGGAGGGGCCATTTTCAGGGATTTCCATCCTCCCAAAATATATGAAAAATTTCCCACTCTACCACACACTTAGTTCTGACAGTCATTAGAGAGGAGTTTTGCTTAAGACAGGTCGTAGACAAGTCAAAGTCATAGTCCAGAGTGCCATAATATTCTCCAGAAAACACTCATCAAGCACCAAGGCCCACCCCACAGTCTTATGTCATGGCCTATGTGGCTGAATACCATGGACTCCCATTGGCAGGACGGTGGCTGGGCTGGCACTGGTTATATCAAAGGTCTGTAGTCTCTGTCCTTGCACCCTGCTGAGAGCACACCTTATTCTCCCACATCTGGCTACCGGGGCCCCCACAGCACACAGTGAGGCCGCCAGCATCTGCCGGTTGTCACAGCCCTCTGCAGACTCTGCCCTTTGTCTGTGTCATAGGCCTCAAGGTCACAGCCTTCTTCTCCTACCACTGGCCTCAGTCTAGGTCTATCACTGACTGCGCCCGCATGTGACCTTGAGGTTCAAAGCAAGTTGCTGACCACTTCTCTCCTCTGGTTCTACTTTACTCCTTAGTTCCTCCTTTGTAACATTTGCTCACCAATGACTTACTCCAGCCTTTTTCAAAAAACGTGGAAATACTGAGTGCTTGATGAACGATATTGAAGCTGGAATACGGTGAATTTAGGACCCACTAACCCGTTTATGGTAAACCCTAAATCCCAGGAACAGAGTAATGCTTGAGTAACACAGGTCATTGCAATGAGACGCAGTGTGTGTGTGTGTGTGTGTGTGTGTGTGTGTGTGTGTGTGTGTGTG